CTGCCTCAGATAAGCAGCTGTTCAAGTATCTGGGAAGCTGACTCCAAAGGCAAGAATAAAAATCCATTCCAGGCAAGCAGCATTGCATTAACCAGAAAAACAGGCCAAGGGGCAAAGTTAAGAGCCCCTCAAAAGGCTCTCCTAAAATCCTCTCTGCCTCTTTGCAACTGCAGCTTTAAATGCACATAGATTTATTCTGAGTCCAGTGATTATGTATTTATTTTACAACATGAAAAAAAAAATGTCATGAAACTAGGAGGGGTCTGCAAATATACTATAAGCCAGGTGCCTCTCCTTATTTGCCTTCTTAATGCTGTCAAATACGAACCCATTTAAGGAGGGCATGTGATGTAATGAGTACTGGGCATTATATAACTGGTGAATCACTGAAACCAATAATACATTATATATTAATTAATTGAATTTAAATAAAAATTTAAAAAGAAGAACTCATTGAATCAAGTAACAGCTATTTCAACGTGAGTCTCTGTGTATTTGCATTGAAGAGTTTTATGTTTGGAAAGAAAGCCAGCATTGTTTTTCCACCAAGGTAGGTCCAGCCTTAAACCAAGCTGAACCTGCGGGTAGCCCCAGGAAGTGTAGATCTGAGAGTTCTGATTGAAGCTGACATAAGTATTCTTTAACACTTGCTCTACATAGAACTCTCCTCTTTCTAGGACCAACAATAGAATTAAAATCAATATAAGATCTATGAAGAAATTCTACAGCACAAAGTAAAAGCTTTCTGATGACCAAATAATTCAATGGAAAATGCTTTTTCTGGATTGGAAGAAAAATGGGAAAATATTTATTTACTTTTGTTCCCCTAAAGAACTGCCTCTCTTGAACAAGAAGGGGCCTTGATGAGGAGATAAGCCAAAATAAGAAGGAAGGGCAATGAAATTAACACCCAGTGAGAAGACATAAAACAGATACACTGGATGCTACAAAAGACAAATTTGTAACTTGGTGATACAGAAGAAAAACTGGAGAAACACTCTTGATCACATGGGACATGAATAAGGAGATGAAAATGACAAGAGAAAAAAGATAGGGATAGATACTCTGGGACAAATGAAATGGTGACATGAACTCCCAAGAACGGTGGCATTCCCTCAAAGTTAATTGAATCCAGTCAAACCAAATGGAATAAAAGCATTACTCAAGATAGAACTGACGTCCGTTTTCCAGCATTAAGCAAAGCTTTAGCTTTAGGAGAGCTCATCACCGTATTCTGATAAAGATAATAGATAGAGATCTCTTCCAAGACACAGGCTTTTAAAAGTTTGAAGTTTAAAGAATAATAAAGAATCTTAAAAATCATTCATTCAGGGAAAAAATTACCTTTGCAAAAGAAAAATTATGAAATATGGGCAGTATAAAATGACCTTCATTATTCTATGTGATGCTTTTTCTTTGATTTCCACTATGGTTGGGATAACCATTGCTGCCCTGCATTGGTTTGGGTTTTTTTGTTTTCGTTGTTTTTAATTTACTATAGTTGATAGGTAGGTAGACAATCGCCATCTTTTTACCTATCTGTGCTATTTTATCCTTTTAATTTATTAATGTTTTATTTTTTAAATTTATTTTTTATTGGTGTTCAATTTGCCAACATATAGAATAACACCCAGTGCTCATCCCATCAAGTGCCCCCCTCAGTGCCCGTCACCCAGTCACCCCCACACCCGCCCACCTCCCTTTCTACCACCCCTGTTCGTTTCCTAGAGTTAGGAGTCTCTCATGGTCTGTCTCCCTCCCTGATATTTCCCACTCATTTTTTTTCTCCTTTCCCCTTTATTCCCTTTCACTATTTTTTATATTCCCCAAATGAATGAGACCATATGTTTGTCCTTCTCCAATTGACTCATTTCACTCAGCATAACACCCTCCGGTTCCATCCACGTCGAAGCAAATGGTGGGTATTTGTCATTTCTAACGGCTGAGGAATATCCCATTGTATACATAGACTACAGCTTCTTTATCCATTCATCTTTCGATGGACACCGAGGCTCCTTCCACAGTTTGGCTATTGTGGACATTGCTGCTAGAAACATCGGGGTGCAGGTGTCCCAGCGTTTCCCTGCATCTGTATCTTTGGGGTAAATCCCCAGCAGTGCAATTGCTGGGTCGTAGGGCAGGTCTATTTTTAACTCTTTAAGGAACCTCCACACAGTTTTCCAGAGTGGCTGCACCAGTTCCCATTCCCACCAACAGGGCAAGAGGGTTATTAATATAGTAATCATACAGAAGAGTGCATAAAAACATTTATGTCCAAATCTCTTCCTCTTCCTCTTGAATTCAGATGAAACTGTGATTTGTTCTAAGCAAGGGGACATGGCAAAGGTGGCCGTCACCACCTTGAGTATGCTGCATCATAAGACCCTACCTTAGTAGCCAGGAGAGAGACTTTTCTCCCTTGCTGGTTTGCAGAATCAGGCTTCCTCACTGAGAAGGCCCACAGCTGTCCTCACGTGACAGGGAAAGGCCGGCAGTCCCTCATAACTGAGAGCACACCCCTGGCTAACAGCCAACGAGAAAACAGAGACAAATACTGTAGGAGTCTACTTCTATGAGGTACTTAAAAGAGCTGAATCCATAGAGACCAAAAGTAAAATGGTAGTTGCCAGGGCCTGGAGAGATGGGGGAGATGGGGAGTTGTTTAATGGGGACAAAGTTTCGGTTTGGGAAGATGAAAATGTTCCAGGGTGGATGGTGCTGATGGCAGCCCAACAATGTGAAATGTCAACACCACTGAACTGTACACTTACAAAGTGGTTACGATGGTAAATTTTCTATGTTGAAAAATTATGCACTGGGACAGGTGTTAGCGAATGCTATGGTGGTAACCATTTTGCAAGATGTAAAATACACCCAATCAACAAGTTGCACACCTTAGCCTTACAAGTGTTGCGAGTCAATTATATTTCAATACAGCTGGGGGGGAAAGTTAAAGATGAAATAATTTTTAAAAGAAACAGTGAGATAAGAAATGGATGTTGTTTTAAGCTGCTAAATATGTGACGATATATTAAGCACCATGGGAAACTAATAAAATGCTCGATTCATGTGTTTAAAAATTTATGTGCAAAAGAAAAAGAAAATAAAAAAGTATGTGCAGTCTGATGAATGCTTATACAGAACAACAATTCAAATTAAGAAATAGTACACTGCCAACCTTAAATGTCCCTTTGTGTCCCTTCTTGTTCATGCCTTAAAGCAAACACTTTCTGTTTTTGTTTTATGCTTTTGCTGTCTGGGAATACATCCCTGGGTGCAAGTTTTTGAAAGCTGTATAAATTAAACAGTAATAAATTTTTTTCCTGTCTGTCATTTTTTTATTCATCCTAATGTTTTAGGATTGTGTCCAGCTCTGCTTCAATTTCATTGCTATAAAGTATTCCATTTCAAAAAATAAAAATGAAAATAAAATAAAAATAAATAAATAAATAAATAAATAAATAAATAATTCCATTTCATGAACATACTGCAGTTTATTTAAGCATTTACTGTTGGTGGCCATTTGAGTTGTTTGACTAATAGTATTTCATTTGAACTGGGATTTTTATAAATAGGATATAATTGAATAAATAGGATATAATTAAATTTATTATTAATCCAATCCTTCCCTTTTGATAGGTGAGTGTCATACATTCATTTTGATCATGACAAGCAATACACTTGTTTGTACTTCTTTGTTATCTTAGTTCCCCCAAGATGTGAAAGACAAGATCACTTAACCATTAACTCTATTATCAGATGTAGAGGCCAAAGGCAGGCTGCCCCAAAATGGGCCACTTTAGCATGAAGATAATTTTAGTTAAAAAGTAATAAAAACTCAGCAGGTCAGGAAAGGTTTTTTACCTCCCTCTCAACTGCCTAAAAATATTTCTTTTTCACTAAGCTCTACACCCAATGCAGGGTTTAAACTCGTGACCCCAAGATTAAGAGTCTTATGCTCTACCAACTGAGACATCCAGGAGCCCTTTAAAAAGAATTTAGATACAGGACCTCCTGCAAGAAGGGAGCCATCACCTTAGATAATTACATTATGATATGAACTATGTATAATAGGAAGGAACCTATCAGGACCTGTTGGTCAAAGTCCTCTATGTCCCATTGTTTCCCCAGTGGCCCAACAAACAGTTGTCTACCAACTGGTTACTCTTTTTCCTCTTCCCATAATTTGTATTCCTTCCCTTTGAAGTCCCAGACCCCAACCCCCTTCTCCTTAGTTCAGAATGACATATACTTCATTTTACCTATCTCTGGAATTTCCTTGTCCATGTGGTTTCCCCAGATGAATGCTATTAAATTTGATTTTCCCCTGTTAATCTGTCTCCTGTCAATTTGATTCTTATTCTGGCTAGAAGGACCTTGAAGGGGACAGAAATTCCTGCTTCCTGACACAGAATAAAGGAACTTGATAGGGATCCACTTTAATCAGGCAGATCTAAATGAATGCTTGATAAAGATCAGAAATCAAATTATACATAATCTAAAATGATGAACTAACAATAATTATCTTTCATATATTAATGACAAAGCATTGAAATAATTAAAACAAAAAAGAGGATACACGAACAGAAACTTGCTTGTAATAGAATATTTAACATACTACTCTATAATAAATTATATGTGTGTGTACTTCAAGACTTCATATATTCTTTTTTTTAACTTTTTTTAAATTTTTATTTATTTATGATAGTCACAGAGAGAGAGAGAGAGAGGCAGAGACACAGGCAGAGGGAGAAGCAGGCTCCATGCACCAGGAGCCCGACGTGGGATTCGATCCCGGGTCTCCAGGATCGCACCCTGGGCCAAAGGCAGGCGCTAAACCGCTGTGCCACCCAGGGATCCCGACTTCATATATTCTAATTAATGTGTTTGATATATCTCAAACTTTACATACAATTATATTATTATTATATACAGATATATATATTATTACAGATATATCTCAAACTTTACATACAATTTAAAAATGTCCACAACTTCTTTTCAGGCATCCATGAAACATTTTCAAAAATTGCCCATATAATAATTGATCTCGATGCAACACAATTATATGAAACATGTCTTTAATCAAAATATAATGTAGTCACTCATAACAAAGATAAAGAGAAAATCCTGATGATCTGAAAATTTTAGAACATAACTTTAAATGGCTAGTAGATCAAAACAGAAAGAAAAACTACAACTTTAGACTATTTACAGAATAATAAAAAAGAAGACCACCACAATGTGTGGTAACTGGTAGGATACCCAAAGCCTTACTCAAATGGAAATTTGTAGGTCTAAATGTATTTGTGATATTATGATATAATTAGACAAATATATTTGATCTTTGGCCCTGGTTCCTGGCCCAAAGCTCCTAAAATTCTTGGAATTTCCTGAGTGATATGGTTAAGAGGAACAGCTTTTATTATTCATTTTAAGCCTCTTTCAACTATATCTGATTTTATGCCAATAAGGTTACTCTCAGTGGGCCCTGTTTAGCTTCAGGATGAAGGCTTGTTGCCAGAGGAACCAACTAAGTGATTAGAGGGGTAGAACTTTCAGCTCCACCCCTAACAGGGTTCAAAAGCTTCTGAGCTAGTGAACACATGGAAGTTCTGGGAGGGCAGCATGCCTAGAAAGGGCATTGAAGTTTCTTGGCCCTTTGCACATACCTTCCTTATGCATCTCTTCTGTCCAGCTGTTCCTGAGTTGTATCCCTTATAATTAAATCAGTAATATTAAGCAAAATGATTCTCAGAGTTCTGTGAGCCATTCTAGCAAAATATAAGGAGGGGGTCATGGAAACCCCCCAACTTCGTAGCTGGTAAGTCCCAAGTATAGATTGTCCACACTTTGGACTGACATCTGAAGTGGAGGCAGTCTTGTAGAACTGTGGGGTCTGTGCCAACGCTGAGTAGTTAGCATCAGAATTGAATTTAATTGTAGTACACCCAGTGGGTGCCCAGAAAGCAGCAGAACTGGTTGGTAGGAGAAAAACAACCTCCACACATTTGGTGTCTGGTGTGTTCTGTGGATAGAAACAGATCAAAATAGTCGTACTTGGGTTTGTTTTAAATACAACTGAAATCGGTACTCGACTGAAAAATTTTTAAATATTAAGAAAAAAAAATGAAAGTGATTTTTAAAAAGGAAAACTTAAAAATCCAAGCAGAGCATAACTGCTGTCTGTTGATTGCAAAATGCTCACAAATTTTCACCCTTACCTGAAACTACTCCTTTGGCAATGTGATTTTGCAACTCTTCTCAAGAAGGAGAGTCTCTTCCCCCAAACTTTGATACCAGTTGGGCCTTGTGACTTACTGTGCTCAATAATTTGCAGCAGAAGTGGTGGCTGTCATGGTAGAGGGAAAGAGTCCATATGGCAGGTTACAGAGTCTCAAGTGACACATGACTTCTGTCCACATTTCACTGGGATAGCAATCACATGGCCATATCTAAATCCAACAGGAAGAGCAGCAAAACTCTCTGTGGCCAGAAAGCAGACTAGAAATTTTCAGTGAGCAAATTAAATAGAGGGTTTGTTATCATCTGATATCCTCTTATTTGTTTGTTAAATATTTTTCACTCCCTCCACTAAAGCATGAGTTCCGTGAAGGCAAGGCTCTTGCTTATCTGTACCTACTGTATCCCTTGCTCTTAGGATGTTCCTTGCCTCAAGGGAGGTTTTTTTTTTTTTAATTTTTATTTATTTATGATAGTCACACAGAGAGAGAGAGAGAGGCAGAGACATAGGCAGAGGGAGAAGCAGGCTCCATGCACCGGGAGCCCGACGTGGGATTCGATCTCCGGTCTCTGGTCTCCGGTCTCCAGGATCGCACCCTGGGCCAAAGGCAGGTGCTAAACCGCTGCACCACCCAGGGATCCCTCAAGGGAGGTTTTTAAAAATAAATTATCATGTCATGCAAAATTATTTGATAGTGAATTTGAAAAATCTTACTAATGTGGAAAGTTTCTGGAGAATATAATTTTAACCATAAATTGCTTAAGAAATAGAATATCTGAGGAGAGCAGTTATGGAAGCATAAATATTTAAAAATTACCTCCAAAAAATCTTCAGGAATCAATGATTTTCTAGCTAATGAATTCTTTCAAAATTCTAAGGAAGAGCTAATTATAATGCCATAAACATTTGATTCAGATTATTTAAAAAGCTAGAAATACATTTGTGAATTAGGCATAAGCCTTTTACTATGACCTGACAAAAAGTAAGATGAGCAAATAAATAAAACGTGAGCAAATCAAATTCCTCACTGCATTAGTAGAATTATTCCACCTAAGTGGGATTTTTCCTCGGATGATTGATTATTAGGAATTGATTAGTAATTAAATATACTTTGTATTATACATGTGATCACTTCAATCAAAAGTGATACTTATCTCTATAGCAATAATAAAGATTCTGATCCCAAACCAAACCACCAGCCAATACGCTACTCAACAATGAAAGAGTAGATGCATCCCCGTTTAAAAACCAGAGGATGGATGCCTGTGCTCAACCGTTGGTTGGGTGTCGGCCTTGGGCCCAGGGCGTGATCCTAGAGTCCCAGGGTCGGGTCCCACACTGGGCTCCCTGCATGGAGCCCGCTTCTCCCTCTGCCTGTGTCTCTGCCTCCTTCTCTTTCTGTGACTCTCATGAATAAATAAATAAAATATTTTAAGTTAATTAATTAATTAAAACCAGAGGAGGAAGAAAGCAGCAAAGTACTAAACATAGTCACCATTATTTTACATTTTCTGGGGGGAACATTTTTTTTAAAGATTCATGTACCTATTTTAGAGAGGAAGAGAGTGTAAGTGGGAGGGGCAGAGGGAGAGAGAGAGAGAATTCCAAGCTGCTGTCACACTGAGAGCGGAGCCCAACACGGGCTTGATCCTAGGATCCTGAGATCACGAACTGAGCCAAAACCAAGAGTGAGTTGGATGCATAACCTACTGAGTTACCCAGGCGCCCCTGAAAAGACAAAATTACCATTATTTCTCTTTGCTATGGTTGCCTATTTAGAAAATTCAGTGAATAAATTGCAAAAGTATAAGAATGATTAAAAGTTTAGTGAGGTGACTACATATGAAATGTCTGCCCTGGAATGTGATAATTTTCCTGGATTCATAACAGAGAAAACAAATCTCTGGGGAGCATTTTTCACAGGTGAAACTTAAAATTATGCTGTTGGATGAAACAAAAAAATCTTTAGAATTATTATGTGAAGAGAGTAGGTTATGTAACAACATAACATTTTTGTAAAATATACATATAAATATCTGTATTTTAATTTTTTTTTATTTATTTATGATAGTCACACAGGGAGAGAGAGAGAGGCAGAGACACAGGCAGAGGGAGAAGCAGGCTCCATGCACCGGGAGCCTGACATGGGATTCTATCGCGGGTCTCCAGGATCGCGCCCAGGGCCAAAGGCAGGCGCTAAACTGCTGCGCCACCCAGGGATCCCTAAATATCTGTATTTTAAAAGGACAGACATGGGCGCCTGGGTGGCTCAGTCCGTTAAGCATCAGACTATTAATTTTGGTTCAGGTGGTGATCTCAGGGTCATGGGATGGAGCACTGCATTGGGCTCTGTGCTCAGCATGAAGTCTGCTGGTCCCTCTTCCTCTGCTCCTCCCCTCATGCTCACTCTCTCTCCCTCTCTCTCAAATAAATAAAATCTTTTTAAAAAATTAAATAATATACATAAAAATACTAACACACAGTATTCCACACAAGACACATAAAAATATTCCAGGCAGACCAAAATGATAGACACAAAAATGTTAATAGATGGGATCTCTACATCAGAGAATTAAAAATAACTTTGAGTGTTTTCTCTGTGTTTCCCAGCATTTTCTGATATTTCTGTTCCTTTTTTAAATAGAACAATATTTAAAGAAAATTAAAAGAATATGCATTTAGGGAGAATATCTAACAAATGCAAAAGAAAACATGAAATATAAAAAAAAGAAAATATGAAATATGTAAAAATAATTTTAGGAAGAGATATTTATAACTGCTCTAAACCTGCATCACACCTACATTGCTGGTGGGAATATATAAGAGTAGAGTCACTCTGGAAGAACATTTGGCAGTTTCTTAAAAAGCTAAAATGCAAATGCTATATGACTTCATGATTACACTCCTGAACACCTGACCCAGAGAAATAAAAACTTATGTTCACACAAAAACCTGTACAGTAATGTTTACAGCCAATTCCAATCCAAAAGTTTCCATGCTATGAGACTCCTTTCATGTAACATTCTTAAAATGACAAAATTATAGAAATTGAAAAGAGACTGGTGGTTTCCAGGGAGAATAGAGGAAGGAGGCAAGTGAGGGTGGCTATAAAAAGGCAAGATGACAAATCTTGGTGATGGAAATATTCGGTATTTGATGGTATTAGGTATCAGTGTCAGGCTGCTGCGATACCATGCTATAGTTCTGCAAGACATTATCATTTGTGGAAACCAGGTCAAAGGTAAATGGGATTTCTCTGTATAAGTTCCTACAATCACATGGAAATCTATAATTATTTCAAGATTAAAGCTTAAAAAAAAAGATTATATAATGACAAGTAATTGCCAACTTAGATTGCATAGAATGGAAAAATAGCTCTAAAGAGTTATTTGCGGGGGACAACCACAGAAATTTAAATATGGATGTGCATTGGATAATATTTATTGTATACAGTACATTTTGGAGTGTGAAAATAGTATTGTAGCTATACAGGAGACTATATAATGGTCCTTGGTCTCAGTATACTCAAGTATTGAGGGATAACATATAACAATGTCTGCACCTAACTTTCAATTAAAAAATAAAATAAAAACTCTCCAATAATTCAGAGAGGGAGAGAAAAAGAAGGAGAGTGAGCACCAACATGGAACATTTCTGAAAGATAAGCAAATAGATAAGACGCTCTAAAGAGAGTAGTGATGAGAAAAACAGGCCTCAATAATCAATAGTTATGAACTTTGTCCCATACTAGGAATTTTAATGTTTTACTCGCCTGCACAAACAGTGGCTCCTTTCCACTTTCTTAGATAAATGCCATAAATTTTTTATAAGCTTGCAATGTTTTACTGACTAGACACTTTTTCAAATGCATATCATCAATACCTTTAGCCATTTTCAAGTTTGCCAATGTATGGCTTCAACCTCCACCAACCCTTCTTGTCCGAAGGTGTGTGGGTCTCCTCTTCTCCACTGGAATGTCTGCAAAAAACATGGGCAATCTTAGAGGTAGCTAGAGATGGTATTTATGTCAAAAGCGTTGTGACCTTCATGAACTCAGGGATCCTGGTAGAGTGACCCTGAACTAGCAGGTCAGCACTGCCCTCCTTTCAAATGTAGGTTATGTAAATAGCAAGGCCTTGTTTTCAAATGTTAAGTTGGTCTTTTTTTTTTTTTTTTTTAAATCACAATGGTTACTTGAAGAAAGTAGACTGAGTTTCAAAAACCTAAGGGGGAAAAACCACCCTTCAGTTTTTCACCCTTCCATAGCATGACTTTGTTACCTTGTATGAGAATTTTAGCTTTTTTAAAGTTACTAGGGTATATGTGGGGAGGGGTAGGTTTGTATGGGGACATGGGCGGGTGTTTATTTGTTTTTTAAAATACCACTCAATCCTAGAATCCTAGGGAGAATGAGCAAAATCTACACCAGATGGAAAGAAAGAACCGATGGAAAACAGATTGACAATCTTTCTGTAAAGTTACTTGTAACAGAGGTAATCAATATTCATAGCCTTTGACCTATCAATTTCCATTGAAGGAATCCACCTTAAAGTCATAGTGTAAATTAAGAACAAAGGTTCATGCACAAAAGTTCATTGACACATTATAAAAGCAAATACAGTAAAAATAACCTTGAGGAATAGTTAACTTACTATAGGCATAGCCATACACAGGAAACTGTACATTCTTTAACATTATTTTGAGTCATTTTAATTACATTGGAAATGCTTGATATAAGAAGTGAAATAAATATAAACTATTTTAAGAGCAACGGAACTAAAGCTGATGAATCATTTTAGTTTCCAGTTTTGTTCCAATTTCTAACACTTTATTTCCTCTCTGGAATATGATATTTGGCATTTTCCCAATTCAGTTCTGAGGGATTTCCCATCAGAAAACATGCCTCTTTGGTCATAGCTAAAATTATCTCTGGTTCATTGATTTCTGGCATTGACTGTTGATATCCCTAGTTCACCGATTGCAGAAAACAAAAAATGTAGATGACCTTTAATAAATGCCTCACGCAAAATTTACCTTCACCACCACCCTCCAAAAATTTTGGAAATCTTCCAGTGTGCATATGTCAAATTGTGAAAGATTATTATGAATTTACCATAATTATTAGAATGCTGGACCCCCAGCAGAATGTCCTTCAGGAAAGCAGTAGAGTATTAGCTGTCATTCAAAACACAAAAATTGGGACACCTGGGTGGCTCAGCGGTTGAGCATCTGCCTTTGGCTCAGGTCATGATCCCGTTGCCCTGGGGATCAAGTCCCACATCGGCCTCCCTGCGTGGAGCCTGCTTCTCCCTCTGCCTCTGCCTCTGCCTCTCTCTGTGTCTCTCGTGAATAAATAAATAAAATCTTCAAAAAAAAAAAAAAAAACCCCACAAAAATTACTTTAAGGAAGTGGTCAGTCTCATTCTTCATTAATGCAATGTTCTACTTAGAAAAATCCAGAAAGAAATCTGTTCTGTTTTGGGAGAAACTAGGGTAAAAGTATATTTTGGTGGATGAAATGCTGAAAGTTTCATTTGAAATTGAAAATTATTTTGTTTGTAACAATCACAAGGTACTAACAATAGTATGACATGAAAAAGGCAAACATGGGCAAAGGCTTCAGGAACCTAGAATATGTCCTACTTTGTGTTATTAAAAAAACCAAAAGGTGTGACAGCATTAACAAACCACACACACACTTTCTCTTTATTCCCTTTTAGTAAACAGCTTTTAATTTTGCTTAATTTTATCATCATAATAAACCTCATTGTAGGCTGTTCCCAATCTATAAAAGAACTGCATATTCTCCCCAAAGCATTTTTATTTAGTTGTTTGGAACCAAATACGTGTTTTCTATAAAAACAATGTTATAAATTGGGACTAGTTCCTCAGCCTGGTTCCACAAAAGACTATTTGACTCATACTGTATCTGAAATACGTTTGCAGTGAAAAGACACAATTGCTGAAAATATTTTTGTTGCATAAAAGGCATTATTTCAACTACATTGCGGGCAATTCAAAGAAACTAATCATTGCTTATTTAATTGCCTTTTTGGAAAATTATATTATAAATTCTAATCAGGAACACTGGAAATAGTGGTCCTCTTCTTTCCAGCAAGCAAGCTCAAGCCACAGTTTGGGACGCTTGTTATTGTTCTGCCTCAGGTACTCTGTTCTCCACTGCTGTTGTGAGCATCTTCGCATCTAGCATCTGTAGGAACTTACACAAATCAGGTTTTTGAACTCAGAAACTTGCTAAATGATAAACCTCTATATGGTCCAAATTTCAGATAAGCCAAAAGCTTATATATACATTTTTGGTTTTGGATTACAGGGCCATGAGTAAAGTGTTCTATAAGAATCCTGATGTCCTAAGACTGGGTTGGACATTATCCCATTAAAATGGGTAGCCATCGAACATGCAAAAATCCAGGGATCCCTGGGTGGCTCAGCGATTTAGCGCCTGCCTTTGGCCCAGGGCGTGATCCTGGGGTCCCAGGATCTCTTTCCACATCAGGCTCCTTGCGTGGAGCCTGCTTCTCCCTCTGCTTCTCTGTGTCTCTCGTGAATAAATAAATAAATAAAATCTTAAAAAACAAATCCAACTGAGCAATTTATTGCATTTGTAAACACTGGAAAGAAGCAGAGTCGAATAGGAATGTTATAACGCTAAAGTATGATTTTCAAAAAACTATACACAAGACTACCAGATATAGAATGAACACATATTTAAGATTTTTAAAAAATATTTTCTTTATTTATTTATGAGAGACACAGAGAGAGAGAGACGCAGGCTCCATGCAGGGAGCCCGATGTGGGACTCGCTCCTGGGTCTCTAGGACCACACCCTGGGCTGAAGGCAGCGCTAAACCACTGAGCCATCCAGCCCGCCCTATATTTAAGATTTTATTCAATCAATTAAGGGGAATTATTAAGTTGACAAAGCCGGTTCAGAGAAGACTTGGAGAAGCAGAGATTGTATAGAGTCAGTCAAAAGAATGCCGAAATGAACTTATGGGGTTACTAGATACAAAATCTGTTAGAACCCTATTGTGCATTAACCTCTGCGGTTATATTTTTCTAACTGGACAGAAATCTGTAAGTTACCATGTAACGTCAGTGTCTGCTTTCTAATCAAACAATAAAGAGCAAAGTCAAACATAGGCAAATTCTCCGATAGATAATTAAAGAACTATTAGGCAAATGTGTTTTTAAAATGACACTGAATGGATACTAGCCTTCTTTTTGCCTTATTTCAACTTTTGGGTGATTTTTCTTGATGGTAATTTTTTTAAATGTATCCAGAGAGAATGTACCAAGACATAGGGTACTATTTTATCCTGATTAATTATCCTGACCCTTAGCCCTGTCAGCTCAAAAACTGATTTTTTTTTTTACTCCCAGTGTGCCTATACATTGATACAGCTCACAAAAAACAAATATACACATCAGACAAAAATTTATTCATTTACAATAAAAATACAACTCACAAATATATCAGATACTCACCTCCTCTGGCTGGTACATTCTTTCCCTTAAGGAAAGCAGTAAATTGGGTCAACTTATCATTTCAACATTGCTTGATGAGCAGTGGTGAACAAGGGAAAAACTGGCCCCAGTGCACTGGACATGCACCCACATCCCCCATTCTCCCAAATGAAGAGAGAGAGAGAGAGAGAGAGAGAGAGAGAGAGAGAGAGAGAGATCCCCTCCTTTCTCCAAGAGCAGGAAAAATGAATGTACCCATGAAAAGTTTGGGTTTGGGACTGGGATTTGGGAAGAGGGTGGAGGAGGGCAAGTTATTTTTAGTTCTTGCTAGTAGACTGGCTTTACCAAAGAAAACTCATTGCCCTAGACCATTTTTTAAAGTACATTTACTTTTCTTAGTAATCTCTACACCTGACTCAGGGCTTGAACTCAAAACCCTGAGGTCAAGAGTCTCACACTTCTCTGAATGAGCCAGCCAGGCCCCCCTGCCATAGACAATTTTGGGAACTTCTAGAAACTGCAAAGCAGATTCAAAACTAAACTTCTGCCTCCTAATGGCTCAGAGTCTGCTCTCAACCTGGACAGTAGCCTGAGTCAAGTACATAGCCCCCAAACCTGTTATTACTGTCTGAAGTTACCCCCGGAGCTTTCCCCTACACATCTACTCGTCCATACACCTCACTCGCCTTCTCTCTGAGCTCCCTGCCGCCCACTTTCACTCCTCATCACCTCCTCCTATCCTTGCTCTGGAATTTTGGTGGAAGGGGGGTGGGGGGACAGGGAGAAAGAATTGATGAGGGCTGTCCTGAAACTTACTATACTCGAAGTATATTCCGAGGCCAGAATCTTCTATTGGATAACATTCCTTCATGTGTTCCATTGGCTGTTTGGCCTCTGGTAGCCGTTGCTTCTACAACTCAAAGATTTTTCTTTTTTAAGATTTTATTTATTTATTCACGAGAGACACACACACACACACACAGAGGCAGAGACACAGGCAGAGGGAGAAGCAGGCCCCATGCAGGGAGCCTGACATGGGACTTGATCCCGGGACTCCAGGATCACACCGTGGGCCAAAGGCAGGAGCCAAACCACTGAGCCACCCAGGGATCCCTACAACTCACAGATTAATGACATCAGGCCATTTCCAAAATTCCTGTCTTGGAAAATAAAAGGCTAGGGGGAGAGCTTGATCCAGGGCACTTCCTCCCCAAAACAGAATGTACATGGGAAATGCCACACTGGATCTCCGGCCTTTTTCTACACTCCATCACATCTAATTCCTATTCTTCTGATTGACTCACTCTTTCTTGATCTGTAATTTTATTGAAGATTCACATATCTGTTATCTCGCCCTTCCTGCCCCTGGCATGAGAAAGATTCTGACTCTAAGGTGCTTTTGTCCACACTGCAGATACCAGATTGCATCTCTTCCCTAAGTACAGTCTCCCCAGGTGATATCATTCAGGTGATTCCAAACAGTTGTATGGCTGTGGCTCACAAATTTGCAGCTCCAGGGCTGACCTCTCCCTTGAGCCTCAGAGGCCTTACTTTTGCAGTTTACTAAAGGTCCCTAAATGTATACTAGTAAGCAAGTCAAGCCTCAGCAGATAGAACAAAGAACTCCCGATTCTCTTCTCTCCCAACCTGGTCCTCTCTCATTCTTCTCCACACACCCAGTTGCTCATCAAAAACATCAGAGACCTGGGACCACTGGGTGGCTCAGTCAGTGAAACATCAGCCTTTGGCTCGGGTCATGACCCTGGAGGTCCTGGGACTGAGCCCTGAGCGGGTCTCCCAGCTCAGGGGGGAGCCTGCTTCTTTCCTTCCCTCCGCCCTTCTCTGTCGCTCGTGCACACATGCCCCCTCACTCAGCCTCAAACAAATAAAGTCTTCAAAAAACATATCACAGTCCTTGGAATCACCAGGCCACCCCAGTCAGCCAGTCCTATGACATGGGGCTCTCCCCGCTAAAATGCATTTCAGAATCTGCCCACTTCAAATCACATCCACTGGTACCCACCAGTTCAAGTCAGCATTTTTCCCGGACCCACAGCAATTTTCTTTTTTTTTTTTCCCTTTGCCCTTGCTTCCATCCTTGTCTTTGCTTGTTTTTGTTTTTGTTTTTTTAAGATTTCATTTATGTATTCATGAGAGACACAGAGAGAGAGGCAGAGACACGGGCAGAGGGAGAAGCAGGCTCCACGCAGGGAGCCCGACGTGGGACTCGATCCCCGGTCTCCAAGGTCACGCCCTGGGTCGCAGGCGGCGCTGAACCACTGCCCCCCCCCCCCCCCGGGCTGCCCCCTTCCTGGTCTTTATTCTCCGCGCAGCAGCCGGAGGGATTCCCATGCATGACATCACACGCCCTCCCTCCTCCTACGTCACCTTTGCATGGATTACAAGACCCTGCGTGACCTAGCCCTGGCCGGCCCCTCTGCTCTCGCCCGCCCCCGCTCTCCACCTTAGCCGGCTTCTTCCTCCCCGCCCACGTGTCCCTTACAAGTGATTTCAAAACCGTGTGGCCGCTGCCCCCCAAGACCTCCCCTTGGAGGCGAGCGTAAGCCGCCTTCGCAGAGATGGATGAAAACCCTGGGTGGCTCTCCTGCAAGTGCCTGCGCTGACGCTCTCGAGGGCTTTCTCAGGCCGGCGACACGGAGGATGGTGTCCCCGGCAGGGCTTTCACCGCAATGCGTGACCCACGGCCGAGGCTCCCTTGCAGGGGTTCTCAGTCCCGGGGCCTTCCGTGGCCAGGAGGGCGGAGCTGCGGAGGCCAGGTGGCCTCACCCAGCTCCCCCGGCCTGGATAGGGAGGCTATCCGCAGAGGCGCCCCCCCCGCACCCCGCACCCCTGCACCCCGGCCCCCGCCCCCAGCGGCTGAGCATCGTCGGGAACCGCCTCCCCTCCCCGCGGGCCGCGCCGCCCCAGTGCGCAGGCTCCGCGGCCCGTGGAGGACCGCCGCCAGGGGGCGCCCGCGCCCCGCCCGCCGCTCCGGCTCCGCCCCGCGACCCCGCCCCTCGCCGCCGGGCCGCGCGCGGAAGGCGGAAGTCGGGCGTCCGCGGCTGCGGCTCGGGCTCCGGGCGGCCCGGGGTCGCGGCTGGAGCGGCCTGGGGGTCGGCGCTTGGCGTCCGGGCCGCCGCGCTCCCCGTGAGCAGCCCCGCGGAGCCGAGCCGTGACGAGCGGTGAGTCCTCGCCCCGCGTCTCCCCCGCCGCGGCCTCGTCCCCTCCCCGCGTGCGCCCGGCGGGGCGCCCCCCCGGCCCCGCGCCCGCACCCCTGCCCCGGGGTGGGGGGACCTTCCCCCTCCCTTCATCTCTGCCCGCGGGGACCGCCCCCCTCCCCCCTCCCTCAGCCGCGGGGACCTCACCCCTACCCACGGGGACCTCCCCCCCTTACCTCTGCTCCCCCTGCCTGCAGGGACCTCACCCCTCCCTTCCTCCCTGTCCCCTGCCCGCGGGGACCTCCCGCCTCACCTCTGCTCCGCCGGCCCCCAGGAACCCTGCCCGCGGGGACCTCCCTCCTCACTCCTGCCCCCCCCCCCCCCCGGCCCGCGGGGACTTCACCCCTCCCCTCCCCTCCCCTCCCCTCCCCTCCCCTCCCCTCCCCTCTGCCCCCGGCACCAAGGACCTGCCCTCCACCCTCACCCCCGCTCCGGGGACCTCCCCCCTTCCCTCACCCCTGCCCACGGGGACCTCCCCCCTTACCTCTGCTCCCCCTGCCTGCAGGGACCTCACCCCTCCCTTCCCCCCTGTCCCTTGCCTCCCTCCCCGTGGGGACCTTCCGTGACCCCCTGCCCATGGGGACCTCCCCCCACCACTCACCCCTGCGCCCCCTGCCTGCGGGGACCTCACCCCTTCCCTCCCCCCTGCCCCCCCTGCCTGCGGGGACCCCCTCCCTTCCCCCCATCTTCCAGCGATAACCAACCCCCTTGTCCTTAGCCCTTCCCTCCCTGAATTGCCTCCTGGATTTTACCGGCCTTTAAGACAAAACAGACCCCAAACCTTTTAAGCTCCCATCGCTCCCTGTCACTGTCATGCTATTTTTGGGTTCCCCGCTGCACTCGGTAGAGGTCCCAGGCAGCAAGTTGTGTGTGTGTGTGTGTGTGTGTGTGTGTGTGTGTGTGTTTTAAAGGGTTCAGATGACACGAATGTTTCCTCCCCCGCCCCTGCAGTCGGTAGTCGTAGAGATTGTTCCAGACGCCGGGTTGATAAAGCTGTTCCTAGTATCTGGCTCTAGGGGAACTCCGGGTGTTGAGACTCAGGAGCGTCTCGAATGTGAACAGAAAGCACCTAAACTATCAGCAGCTCCAGTGTGCACTACAGGATTCGCGTGCTTTTTCGGGAGAACAGGTTTACCGGCGTCTCGCTGCCCCCGGGGGCGGGGGGGGGGGCGGGTAGAAACGAGAAAAACTGGTAAGGAAAACCGGAGCCTGTCCGTGTGAACCCGACCCCCGGCATATATACGTTAATGGGAAGATAGAGGGGGTTTTTCTGATTTTTGAGGTTGGACAGGGTGGGGGCTACGGGGGAGGCCTACTGGCGACTTCAAGGAAGGAATGTGCTCGGTTGGGGCACCTGTCGCCCGCCCGCCCGCCTGGGGAGCAGACTTGCCGGCCGCGCCGACCCGGGTGCTTCTCCGGTTGCAGAACTGGACAGGCCGGGGCCTTGCTGTGACGGCTCGGGTGTGTGATGCCCACCCGGTGGGGGCCGCCTCCACCGTAAAACAAGGTGTTCAGGTCCCTGCCTCCTGGAGGAAAACTGCCTCGGAAGCGCAACGCCTCTTGAATTTGTATTTGTATTTTTTTTTTTGATTTATTTATTCATGAGAGAGGCAGAGACACAGGCAGAGGAAGAAGCAGCCTCCATGCAGGGAGCCCGGGGTCACGCCCTGGGCTGAAGGTGCTAAACCACTGAGCCACCTGGCCGCCGCGCATTCAGATTGTTAAGACCTAACAATTGACCTTTTTTGCAGCTCTTCTTGGTGGTTGCTGCACCTTTACAAGTCTTTGCATTTCAGGAATAGATTTGGGTGAATAGTTGTTTCTAAAGTTAGTAGCAGGTTAAAGTTACTTTCCCAGTATTTTGTTTTATATCAACTTACTCTAAAGGAGTACTGTGTTTTGCCATGAATGAATGTTCTGTTGACTTAAAATGGACTGATTCAGGGGACCCCTGGGTGGCTTGGCAGTTTAGCACCTGCCTTCGGCCCGGGGCGTGATCCTGGGGTCCCGGGATGGAGTCCCACGTCGGGCTCCCTGCATGGAGCCTGCTTCTCCCTCTGCCTGTGTCTCTGCCTCTCTCTCTCTCTCTCTCTCTCATTAATAAATAAAATCTTTAAAAAATATTTTGACTGATTCACATACCTTGTTGATTTCCTTAGCTTAGACCTTTAGACCCTTTCTGTTGACGCTAGAGGAGCACATTTTTGGGCAGCACCATGCTCCCCCTCCTTCCCTAAGATATGTAACAGTGTCCTCTTTGGATTATAATATATACACCCAGATACTGATATGTGGGCTTAAGCCATAATTTATGACAATATTCATTCATTTGTTTAGTCTGAATACGTTATCATTGGTTACATTCCACAGTGTTTAATTAAGGGAGTGCTTTGTCAAAAGTTCAAAAATAATAGAAGTAAAAGCCAGTGAATCACTGAAGTAGCAGTTGGTAAAAGTCTATTGTACACACCAAAATGTTTGCAAACCAGGAGCAGTTGAACCAAAACATGGAATGAGGCTTAGGGGGTATTGTAAAGCAGCTCACATAGTGAGAAGGCCCTGACTGAATTCTTCACAGTGATTGGGTAGAACATTAGGATTTTTTTTTAAATGATAGGGAATTGGTCTGTGGTTACTCTGTATCAGTCTTGGGGAACACTTCAGGTTTTGCCTCTGATTTCCAGCAAGTTTACTTAACCCTTTTATGCTCCGTAGTTTCCACTTTCATAAAATGGGACAACAAAATTGTTGAGTTACTATATAGAGCTGCACATCATAATAACTCATTCTTCCGGGCGCACTTCTGAGTGCTTTGCACAAACTAATACATTTAATCCTCAGTAATTCTGAGGTGGGTACTGTTACTATCCCTATTTATAGATGAGGAAACTGAAGCAGAGAAGGTTACATAACTCTTCTGGGTCCTACACCAAATGATGGAGAAAAGAATTAAACCCCTACCATCAAATTCCAGCATCTGACTTCTTTACCACTTCACATACTGCCTCTTCAGCCAGAGCAGTGCCTCATCCTTTGTGGATCTTTTTGAGGAGAAAAAGGTATCTGTAAAAGAAGAAAGTATGGAAGTAAAAGATACAGGGTTATTGCCTTAACCCACTCTTTGGTGTAGTGGCAGCCAGGATTTTCATATGAAAATGAGACAGGCCGGGGGATAAATGTCTAGCATACTGACCAGAAGCTTACATTCGGTTTCTAGAATTGTATCTGGAACATATTAGGGTTTTCCTCAGGTGTGATTAATCTGCAGCAGAGACTTGGTTACGTAGGCTATGAATTGCTTTTAGACATTAGCTTCTAATTCATAAATACTGTAACAGTTTAGAATTTGAAGGCATCCCACCTACCCATGAAAGCAATAGTTTTCCAGGGCAAATGAAACTTCACGTGGTTTTCCAGTCATTAATAATGAGACATAATCACTTGACCTGACTGAAGGCAAAAGGACATATATACACATATATATTTTTTCAATTCCATTCTTTCTACATCGTAGAAATCCCCGCACTGAACATTTAGAAGTACTTGTAGGATTTTAAATCTAAAAGATGAAACCAAGATCCAAATTGTTAGGTTGCCCCAAATCACACATTTAGTACTTGCGTGTGATCACCTGATTCCCTGTGCATTGCTCTTCCTTGCACCGCTTGTTGGTCATACCTTATACTTGAAGGAACTTCAGTAGCATAATTCAGTTCCTCCGCACATGCTTAACGAGCACCTGTTAAATGAAAAAAATTTGCACTAAGTACTGGAAATACAAAAATTCTTGACTTCAGTCACAGGAAACAGACATGTTAAGCAGATCATTATGATATAACTAAGTGTTACAGTTGAGGTACTTTTCTTCTTTTAATCTTACAGTCTTTCTCCTAGATCATGAACTGCTTAATTCAAAAGATCGTAGCCATGAAGCAAAGCTTAAAGAACTTTAAAAAAGTCTCCTGTAAATAATACCAACATAGCTAATGTATATCAACTAAAAAGTAACTTACATAGATAAGAAGTGACATGTGTGTGTGTGTGTGTATGTATGGTAAGGCATTTTTTTCTCTATTTCTACAGAGCAATTGATAATCACGTTACTATGAGTCTGCTAAACTGTGAAAACAGCTGCGGATCCAGCCAGTCTGAAAGCGACTGCTGTCCTGCCATGGCCAGCTCCTGTAGCGCCGCAGTGAAAGATGACAGTGTGAGTGGAACCACCAGCACGGGGAACCTCTCCAGCTCTTTTATGGAAGAGATCCAGGGGTATGATGTGGAGTTTGACCCACCCCTGGAAAGCAAGTATGAGTGCCCCATCTGCTTGATGGCATTACGGGAAGCAGTGCAAACACCGTGTGGCCATAGGTTCTGCAAAGCTTGCATCATCAAATCAATAAGGTAGGTGAAAGGGGCGTTTGGATAGTGCATTCAGTTGAGCTTTCGACTCGGTCTCGACTCAGGCAGTGATCTCAGGGTCATGAGATCGAGCCCCAAGGCAGGGTCTGCACTCCGTGCAGAGTCTGCTAAAGACTCACGGCCTCTGCCCCCTGCTCACACGTGTTTGTTCGTTCTCTCTCTCTCAAATAACTCTTGGGGGAAAAAAGTAAGGTACCTGAGCATAAGAACTGTATCAAAGGTAACTCTATTTTGTCCTGTCCTGGCCCTCAAATAAATAGGTGAATTAACTATTTCTACTTAGAGCAGTTCTGTTACAGACTAGGGGATGTCTCTATGCTGTAAGAAGATGATATAGGATAAATGTGCCTTAGGGGCGCCCAGCTGGTTCAGTCGGAGCAGTGTGCAGCTCTTGATCTCAGGGTTGTGGATTTGAGCCCCATGTTGGGAATAGAGATTACTTAAAAATAAAATCTTTAGAAAAAATTTCCCTTTGATGCTGCTGCTGCTGGAATCTGATAATCTTAGCAATACAAAAAGTGTTGACTCTTAAGTGTATCAGTTATTCTTAATTTAGCCATGTTAAATTCTGTTACCTGGTGTCTATGGACAACTGTAAAATAACCAACCAATAGTTTTTCTTTTTTCTTGTAGGTCTTTTTTTTTTTTAATTTAAATTAAATTAACATGATGTATTAAAATAATTAGTATTTTTAAAGAAAATATTAGTGGATGGCTCTACCTTCATAATCTATTCAAAATCGAATCCCTCCTTGCTGCCTCCACTACTGCTGCCATCTGAATCACTGTCAGCCCTCACAGGCCTCTGGCTTCTATCCTTGCCTTCCTTTTTCCAGACTGTTTCAGTACAACCTGGTAAAATAAGGAAGATGATGTCATCTCTGCTCAGAACATTGCAGCAGGTCATCTGAGAATAAAAGCCAAGGTCCTTGAAAGGCCCTGCATGATAGGCTCATAGTCTGTTTTCTGACCACCTCTTACTACACTCCCCTTCCTTCCACCAGTTCATTCTGCTGTTTCTTGAACCTGTCAGCTGTGCTCTTGCCCTGGGGAATTGGCTTTAACTGTTCTCCCTGTTCGGAGCACTCTTACTTCAGCTAATTACTTAGCTCATACTCTTTCTTCCCCCCAGTGTGGCTCTCACCTCATCGGTAACCGAGCTACCCTATTTATACCCCAGCATGCCTACCTCCTCCCCACTCCCAGCCTCCTGAAGCTACTTATCTTTCTTCCTTAGCACTTTTCATCTTCTGAAATACCAGATAATTTGTTTCTTGTCCTCTTGTTTAACTGGAGGATAAGCTCCTTTGAGAGCAGAGATTGAGATCTCTCTTCTTGATGTTTCCTAAGTGCCTGACACACAGTTGGTGCTCAGTAAATCATGGTTGCTTTAACCAAATGAAGGTAGATGGGATTTCCACAAGTGATTCAAATTCATCTCCTAAGAAATAGTTACATTTTACTATAATTCAGAAATAGGAATATTTTTGGATGACTGATGGGTTCCATACAGAACAAAAATAATGAAGAATTGGAGGGGATTTTATGTTCTTCAATAAATACCTAGTTATACTGATAAAATCATTCTTAAGTCAGTTAAGCTGGCTATTCCTTAGTCTTACAAGTTTTTCTCTTTGAGCTTTTGAATTAATGTTAGTATGAAACTTGAATTTAGGGTAACTACTTCCATACTTG